GAAATAAGATTGGTGTGAAATGGCTTGATTTTTGTAAGAAGTGTTTAGTGGCTGTTACCTGAAATGTCTCCCAATTTTTCTCTGTTATTCTAACATAGAAATTAAAGGGAAGAAGAAATTATAAGCTGATCAGCCTAACTCTGATAACCAAGGAGCTGTCTTCAGAGTTTCAGTAGATCTGGCATTGCTTTACCTTGCTTTTTTAAAAGTAGGTTAGGAATAGTTTAATCAGTTTATGACTTAAGTTTATTTTTAAATACTTCTAGATGATTTGTTCCCTCACTTAGGACCTATGGATTATATGCTTTTCTGACTATAAGGAAGCACACAGGTACAATTATGTTAATAAACTGAAGAAAACAGCATTCAGTATTATAGTCTTCCTCACCAAATGAAGTGGTATTATCAAAATCATCAGATAGTGGCTTGTAAAGGAAGTACTTTTTGACACAGCACACAATTAAGCTATGGAACTCATTGCCACAGAATGCTGAGTGCCAGCCATTTACAGGGGCTTAAACAATAAGATGAATTCATGCTGGAAAAGCTCATTAAGGGCAATTAAGTTCACAGATGCGGATGCAACTGGGAAGTCCTTAAGCCATGTATTGCTGTGAACTGGAAGGGTGTAGAAAAGAAAAAGATAGATCCATCCAACTGACAGCACTACTCTTCCCCTCAGTCCTGTTCCCCTGACCTGAGCATTACTGGTGGCTGAAGGCAGGCTACTGAGCTGTGGGCTTTTTGTGCTGATCCTGTATGGTAGTTCATGTTCTTACCTGTAATTCACTTTCTTCCAATTTCAGCAATGCAGCAGTATGAGCCATTGTTTCCCCTTTCTGCAAATATAATCGGAGGTACTTGCCTTTTTCGTCTGTGCTGAAGCTTTTGTACCTGTTCTGGTCCTGTTCCTGCATTCACAGCTTTCTGTTTCACCCTTTTTGCAAGAACTGCCTGCCTTGTTACTAGCCTAGGGCCTAAGTGGTGCTACATTGGTCTCTTTCCACTACGTATTAGAATAGTTTGCTCCCTTCATGTTTTTATTTGAGAAGCATCCACTCACTTCTCTCCCATGGAACTGTGCCTATTAAGTCTTTGGCACTGTCAAGTGATTGATGACAAATCAGTTGAATCTGGTGTTCTCCTGGTATTTTGCTAATTGACTGCTTGGTTCTCTAGCAGTGATCAGAAGAATGGTGTTTCTTTTTTTAACCACTGCAGATGTCTTGTGGCTTTCCCTGCTGTTCTGCTTCTGTCAAAGCGGTGCTGGGCTTACGATAGTAGGTTTGAATGCAATGTGAAGAATTTCTTCAGATCAGGTGAAAAATTGTGGGCCTCTGTTAATAAGACTTTGTTTTGAACAGGTAGGAAAGGGATCTTTTCTATGAAACAGTTTGCTCTTTTTTTACCACCCCCCTTTTTCCTTGTTTCTTTTTTTTTTTCCCCTCTTTTCTACCAAACACTGTCATAACAAACTCTTTCCTTTTTGGCGTAAGCAGGAAATGTTTGGCTGCACAGAGATCTAAAATATTAATGCCAGCTGAGCATACTCAGCTATTTCAGCTGTTTGCATCCCAAATTTCTTCTGTCCAAGCAGTCTTTTTAATCCTCAGTTAAAGCACAGTGTTCAAGTTTCAAATTCAGGCTGTCTTTTTACAGTAGCATTAGAGTCAGCAGTGTTAATCGCATGTGAGATTTAGTTTTGGGAGATGTGTTTGTGTATTAAGAGTAGAGAGTTGGTGGAAAGTATGAGGCAAATAACTTGAGTAGCTAAAAAGACTCTGGTAAAACACAGGTTCTTCAAGGAGAAAGAAGGCCTGGACTGGAAAACCAGCCCAGAAGGAGGAGGAACTGTGCCAGTCCTTGGAGTATGTGGAAAATGAGCTAATTACAAATAGACGTGGCAACCTGAGCTGAAACTGGCACCTGTTAACTATAGCATTCCTCCCACCTTTCTGAAAGCTTTACTATATCACAATACAAGTGGGCATTTTATAATACACTACTGTTGTGAGACCACTGGTAAAGCAAGTCACTGCTTGCTTTACATCTCTGAGCTCCTTGGTTTGACCAACTTGAGCAAGTTTTATTTTCACTGTGCTATTATGTGTAAAATGGGACTAATTCCATTTGTCTCACAAACTGCAACATACCTTGCCTGGGGGAGTTTGTAGCCAGGTTGGATGCCTTGCATCTCAGTATGGTGACCTGCCATAACACTGCCCATTCGCCAGGGCTGCTGTCCTTTGCTGAGGAAATGTGACACTGGTCATCTTGAAGGGAAACTGCATGAGGAAAGAGGTGGAAGTACTAACTGGGATGAGGTTGGCCTTTCACATCTAGGTATGTGTTTTACTACAGATGTATTTGCAAAGGGATGGTCACTCATTTCAGATCCTTCATCTAACAGGAAACTGCTTGTTTCAGCAAGATCCATGAGGAATGGTAAGTCAGGCAGAGCTCTGCTGACCCATCCTCCTGCAAATCTTACCTGGTGTGGGAAGACACTGTGTCTGACAATACAGAAATAGAAGGATGGAAGAAAGGCCTTTTGAAAGTCTTTGCTTCAGTTTGCATACTGTTTTACTGAGCTCTTGATCAAAGGAGTTAAGCTCATGTGGGAGCAGTTCTTTTAAATGAACAGTGTGATGCAGTCATTTCTGTACTTCTCCACATTCTGGATATGCTGCCCACTATGAACTTAAACACAACCCCCTCTTTTCAATTGTTTGTGGAAGTGGGCTCTTGCAATGAGCTCACCCACAACAAAAGCTTCTTGCAGTCCCGTCGAGCTCCAGCTAGTGCCTACCTAACAACAGCTCCTTTCCTGTCATTCTCTTGCCTGCTACACATAGCAGCTGAATGAGTATTTGGGTGGGGAAGGAAGGAGATTGCAACATCCATTAAAGAAAAAAAGAGAAGAAAAAGCCCTGTCTGTGTCTGACTTTTCAAGTGCAGCTGTAAAACTTTCCTTGGCCTTTGAAAAGGGAGCTCTGCCATGTGGTGGGTGCGAGCTGAGGAATACGTCAGCCTTTGAAGTTAGTCCTTTAAATAGGCAATTGCAAATGGCATCAAAACTTAAGCTTTGGTAGCAGTTTTGCTGCAAGCTGGAGTAAACTACTTACTCTGACAGTGCACTGTGGATGGTAAGACTAAGTTACAAACACCCGCACCTCTGCCTTTCTCAGCCATTAGCCCATATTCACCCTTATGCCAGTAAGTCTGAATCTCTAGGACTGTAGTTGCAGCATGAACCTCTTGCAGGGGAACACAGAATTGGTTTCAACAAGACTCCAGTGCTCTGCTTTGACAGAAAACTTTGCCAGCAGTGACTGCAGACTGCTGTGTTTGCATGATTGCAGCCACAGATAAGAGAACCTGCCCTGAAGTGTCTGAACTAAGGGTGGCTGAAAGGCTGGGTCTGTCTGCTGTAAAGAAATGAATGAAACGCAGGGCAAGTGTTCTACAAGCCACACAGCAGAAGGCAACCAAGAGCCCTAAAGCGTTTATTTTCTCATCTGTAGTGTTTGGAGTGCTTAGATACTAGCTGCCACATGGTACAATGCAGCACTTCATAGCTGTTAATCTATAGGCATTGCTTTTCTACAGAGGTGCATTGTTCTTATTTTTAATGCTGAGGATGGGGATAAAAGCTTTGTTTGTGCAAGGAGCTGAATTAACAGGTAGAGCTGCACGCAGTTCAATCTAATGTAAGATGATCTGAACAGGCACGGTGAGTTTGAAGCAAGTTGTGCTGCCCTGGCAAGAACATGTCTACCTCTTGGGTATTTGCACTGCATACCTTAATGGATTTACCTAAATTCTCCCAATCTTCCATTGAGAAGTAGCCTTGTTACCTTGCCTATATGCACAATTAGATGCCCTTGGAGAAGTGAGAAGTAGAGATGAGAAGGGAAACTGTCTTGTACTGCTTTGCTGGTGCCTTCTTGCTAACTTACTGATGGCAAAGTTTCCAGTGTATCCTTGGTGGGAAAGAAATTCAGCCCAGAAAAGCGAAAACCTCACTTCTGAACAATAATTACATTCCAGAACTTACACAGCTCTCCTGGGAAATGTCTTTCCTGTATCCATTGTCTTAATGTAGTGCCTTTCCTAATCATTCTTTGTCATCTCCAAGCTTCTGGAAAAGTGAGTGTTTCCCAGGGTGTAGGTGGAGGGAAAAGAGTTTGTGCATTGCTGCCTAGTTTCTCATAGTGATAATGTGTTAATCAAGTTAATCAAGAGAAGTGACTCATAGAAATGACTGGGTAACGCAGGTGGTTACTTATCACTTCCGTGGTCTACAGGATTGTTTCCTGCTGGAGAAAATAGCCCAAGGCACTTCATGAAGATGTGTTCCATAGCACTATTTATTCTAAGTTTTTTCTTTCTGTAACTCAAAGGTAAAAATCTTTAGACACCATCTCCTTGAAATCTGCCTCTAGAAGGCAAGTCCCATTTGGTCTGGAGCAAAGAGGGAGTCAGCTTATTCGCTGGACTGTCCCAAATGTACCTTTTCCCTCCCATGCTGCTCCCCAAGCCTTGTCCCTGAACCTGACACAGCAACTGAAGCAGCTTACTCCACTTTGGAGCCTGAAGAAACTTATCTTAACCCTTCTAAAAACACAGATTTAGTGGGTCTGTTTTCCCTCTGCTTTTATATCTTCTAGCAATTTGTTCAGTCCAACTCAAATGGATGCTTGCTTGCTGAACTGAAGTTAGGTACTTTAAAGGATGAAATACCAGTTGTTGTTCTTCAGTCAAAACTAATGCCCTGTAAACTCCTATATTCTGCTTTTTTCTCCTGCATTGTACAGGATAAAGTGTCTCTTTGGGCAGGGATGAAACAGCAAGCAGGAGCTGTTTCTGATATGACTGCTGCCTGTTCATCCTGCCCTTTTCTACCTTTGAAAAGGGGCTCTATGTTTGCTATCAGTGGACTTTTACCTGTACTTGCCTGTATGGTGTTAATCTCTGGCTTTTTTCCTTTCTCCCCATAGGATGATGAGAGTCTGAAATACTTAACTCATGAAGTGCAGGATGTCCTCATGTTCTTTGAGGAAACCATAGATGCCTTAGAAGATGACTTGGAGGAGACGGTCCTACGTGACAGTGGCATCCACTGTCAGTCTCCACGATCAACGGAAGAAACTGTGTCCTGTCATTCAGAGACTGAAGATATCATTGACTTAGTACAGTCCACACCTGAGAGTAGTGACCATGAAGGCCCTCCTAGTGGAGATACAGAACCAGGTAGTAGTATTGCTTGAAAGTGTGGGTTTTCCCTTTGACCCAGCCCTAGATATTCCAGTTCTCCTTAGAACAGCTAAAGGAATTCTGTACCTTCCTTACTACCTCCAGATGAACCTCTTGCACATCAGGAGCAGTAAGGACCATGATTTTAATTTGACTCGGGATTCCTGAAGTTCTTGTTATTACTATAATGCTTTTTCCTCACCTTATGGAGGTCATGACTATGATTAAGTTGTTGGGCTGCTATCTCAGCCCCTGCCTGGTGACTGAGGTGTAACAGAACTGTTATGCAGAGTCACTGCAGCAAGGCAAACTGGTGCTCATCAGTGTGTTCATGCTCTGCTTCTCTTTAAGAACTTTTAAGACCTTCGCTAAGAGTTTTAAGACAGCAGACTGTCTGTAGTGTTACTTTGTGTGAAAAAGGCACATGATCCTATCACAGTAAGTTTGTGACAAGATAGTGTCATGGTCCTCACCATGGGGAGTTTTCTCTCTGTTTTTGGAGCATGGATTTATCAGGTAGTATGTCCAATGGGATGTAATGTGTTTATTAAAAATAAGAATTGCAAAACTGACAGAAGAGGCAGCCGCTGAAACACAGTTTTGTGAATGAGTGGAAGAAAGAGCATTCTAGTGTGAATGCACTGTAAATATGGTGATGTGAACTACAGTGTTGCTATGAGATGCCATTGCTGGGAGTTCAGTTAGAGTTTCCTCCAGCAATGTGGGCTGAGTTTGGGTTAGAAAGTTTGGTGAGGGGAATACTGATGCTTACTGATCCTAGGTGAAAGCAAGCCTTGTATTTTGCTTTGTGTGAAGGCTTAATGTTGCTGCTTTGTCTTTTAAGTGTTGGATGCTACCAGGAGAACTGAGAGCCCGAAGCCAGCTGTACCTGCTGACCTTCCCCCACCTCCCCCTGTACCACCACCACTGATGCCCGAGACCCCTCCGCTACCTCCTCCACCCCCTCCTCCAGTGCAGCATCCCAAATTGCTTCGTTCCATCCCCACCCCGCTCATCATGGCCCAGAAGATGTCTGAGCAGCAGGCGGAGAACAGGGCACGCTTCCCCAGCGCCCTCAAGGAAGGGAATTCGGACAGGAAGAAAACCCCAGTAGCCAACGGTGATTATTCTGTGGCTCCAAAGCACCCTCCTGCCCCTGCACCCAAACTGCATCGGTTCCCCAGCAACATCAACATAACAAATGTCAGTGGCAAAGAATTCAATGAGACTATTTCCAAAGCAGCAGTTAACGTCCAGGAGCGGAGAGCTCAGGTGCTGGCCAACATCAATGGAGGAGCTCTTCTGGCAGCTGAACTGGAGGAGAAGCTGCAGAAGAATGATTTCTTGTCACGTAACAGAAGTTCATCCTTAAGGGATCTCTCCTCTGAGCAAACACGATACGAGGCCCTGACAAAACTTGGCCTAGTTAAGGGAAAGACAGCTCAGGACCAAGTGGACCATGCGCCAGGCACTCAGCGGCTTGATGTGCAGCCCAAACAGGCAGATGTTGTTCCCAATGGATATCAAAACATCCATGAGGTCTTAAAAAGCGAGCCCAGCCCTTTCCTTCCTATGGGCAAAACTGTAACAATCAAACCAGAGGTAGCTCTTGCTGCTAACAAGGTCAGCAGCACACAGCAGAACACAGCAAAAAGCTGTAATGATTATAAGCAGCCTAGTCTAAACCTGGATATGAGGAGGAGGTCGGGTTCACTGCCTCGACCCTCAGGATTTCGATCCCAAGGAATAACGGTGAAGTTTTCCGGCCGTGGCTCAACAGAAGAAGCGAGGAGAGAGGCACTTCGGAAACTGGGACTGCTGAAAGAGACTGCATAATCCAGATGGGAATGTTGTGGCAACAGGGGAAAGTCATGGCGTGGCTTTGTGCTAGAGAAGTCCCAAGAGGACTGGGATCCATTTGGAATAAGGAAGGGGAAGTTCTCTGCCTCAGGCAAGCTAAAGAGGTACTAGACACTGTGGAATGACCACTTGTGTTTATCCCAGAAGGACTGGCACCATGTATAGTCATCTACAGCAGAGGGTTTCAGCTCTCCTTTCTACAGAGATTCTCATCTCTTGCTCTTTGTGACTAAGAGGAACTGTATCTAATGCTGTAGCAGACAGCAGGGTGTTAACGGAGTGTACAGGGCAGTATTGTTGTACATAGCAAACTGAATGGTGAACCCTCCTCCTGCTCTTTCTGCAGCCAAAACAGAGCGCTCCGTTTGTCTCACCCACACGTGTGTGTATGTCTGTGGGAGCTTGAGATAATGTCAAAGCTGAAGTGACTGCGGCCTATGTTATCTGGCTTGGCTTCCTTCCCTACAGTGATGGAGTCTCCTGCTTCCTTGTGCCCGCTTGATTCAAGACAGTACAAAGGGCGGCTCTGTTTTGACCTTCTCAACAGAGCAGCCCGAGCTCTGAGTGGGGACTGCATCCCTCTGCTGCTTCACTTCAGGTCCTACCTTCCTTCCCAGACGCCTGCTTCTTGGTCACGCTCTGGCAACCTATGTGTCCAGTGAAAGGCACTAGATAAGCAAGCCCCAAGGATATGCACCATGCGCCGGTTCTTGCACTGATGGCCAAAGAGTCTCCTGACAATCTGTGACCCCAACTGTTCTGTCCTGGTGATGATCTTGCAGCAGAGTAGCCATAGGAACAAGTTAACTTTGTACCAAATGGAGAACCTTATGTCAAAAATCTTATCTTTTGGGGTTCCTATAAAGAAACTGTTACTTTCTGAACAGTAGCTGTACTACAGGGAGTAGTTAAGAAGTTCTGTTACTTCTAAAAGGTGTCATTTGATCTTCCCGTAGTTTGGCAGCACTAATAATCCTCTGTTCACAGCCTTACTTGCTTCTGCCCTGCCAAGCATAAGAGCAGTTACAGCCAAAATTCTTTCAGGCTAAGTGGAGTTACAGGAGAGCTGTATGTTAAGAGCACAGCACTCATGGTCCAAGTTGGTGTTATTTTGTGTTTGTTCAGTAGAGCTGCTTTTAAAGATGGTCCCAAACCAGATTTGTATGTTGGTATGATGGGTTTTTTTTGTATGGTAAAGATGTTCTTCCATCTTAAACTCCCTTTGCTTTTTATACACCCAAACCCATCAAGAATAGCCATTTAAAAACTAAATGCCAAACTTCAGACCCTTTAGATTGTATAATATTCCTCCATGTTGAAGAGTTCTCAGTGGTCTGGCTGTTTTCTACAGGGAAAAACCTCCCTCTCTGCACTTTGTAAAGCCTGAAGCAACCCCCTCTTGTTTCCTGAGTAGCTGAGTAGTAAACCTTGGAGCAGAGGAGGGGAGTGGCTATACCAGAAACCGGCACACCCTTCAGCCAGGAGCTCTGACATAACTGTGATAAACAAGCTTGTAGTTCTGATAAAGTATTTCAGACTTGCTGAGCTGTACTTGTAAGTGAAGCTGTCGTGAAGGAAAACTCTTTGCGTCATTCTCAACCTGCCTCATAAGTTAAAGGGGTTTTTGGGGGGGTTATTTTAATCACCTGCTTGCTGCTTCAGTTTTGAATTGTGTTATGGTATCTGCCTGATTCTGTTATGTACTTATTCTTTTCAGCCTTTTCACTGGGTAGGTGATCGTGTTCCTCACTGCAACAGGCTTACTATACCTAAGCAATCGGTAATCAAAGTATGTGGCCTCAGCCTGGCAGAGCACTTGTGCATGCATAATCCAATGTGAGAAGTGCTGCTGGAACAAAACCCGCTGCTTGTATGCTGTGAGTACAGCACATACTTATCTTGCTGGCCTCTCAGTATGTAGTCCTAAATCAGAAAGACAAGGGAACACATAAAACACACCCAACCACCGAATTCAGTGCAGCCTGGAATGGAGTGGCTGCTGCATCATAATTTATTAACATAACCTGCTGAGTAAATGTAAATGTTTCATCACCTTTGTGCTTTTAAATCCTGTTAAAGCAAATTCTTCATTATGGATGGGAAGCGTGTACAAAGCAGTCTTCACATCTGTATAGTTTCTTGCCAGCTCTTCTTTGAGTTGTTTACAGCTAAGAGTCCATACTAAGCAAACAAGGGGGAAAAACCCCAAACCAACCCTGATACGAATTGTATTGAAATTCAGGCCTACTCAGTAACTCTGTAACATAACCCTATTTAAAAAAACATAAGGTAGATGTTTAATATCTAAAGTATAAAGTTAATGCAGTCTGAATTAGCTGGGTCATGTTCTTTCATCCTTCATGCAGGGCCATGTCCTCAACCGCTGGGAAGTGAGAGTTAGATCTTCATTATATAAACCCATTTCTGGCCAATGAGGACTTGGAGCAAGGTATCCATTGCAGCCCTTCATTATAGCAAATATCCTACTGGTAAATTCTTCTCTGTGCCTAAAACTGTAGTAAGTAAAGCCATGTACTAAATGAAGTTAAGAGTCTAGCTGCTAATAACCTGTATATAAGTTTAGCTCTATTTTGTGTATCTCGTTTTGTGTGTATATGTTGCTGTGATTTTATTTTATCCCTTTGTGTTAGAGGTAACTGTCTTGCACAAATCTGATAAATCATCTATTAAACTGGGATTAAACCAATGAAGCCATGACTGATGGGAGGTGGCATTTTATCCCATGTCATGCAGCAGCATACAGCTTTCTCGGAGGAGGGAAGTGACCTGTTTTAATGGCTGATAGCAATTGAATAACTTTTCCTTTTGCAACAGTGGATGTGTGTGAATGTTCACACATGTGTGAATGAGGAGGAAGTGGAACAAAACAAGAGGTAGGACTATGTCTTCCAGAGGTGTGTATTCCCACTGCTGGACTTCCAAGAACTGAATCAAGTTCATTCTGAACAGTGTCTGAAGTAGACAGAAATCCCCCTCTCCCAGTGTTTTCCAATGATAAAGTTACTTTTCCAAAAGGAATATGTGAAAGATGTGACCCACCTTTGTGTTCTTATGGGTGTTACCATAAGCGAGTGTTAATCCTGCTGAGGGTAGAACTCTTTCTTGTTGCACAGGAAGAAGTTCCCCATTAGAGGACATTCTTTCCCATCTCTGCTGAGTGTGTATGTGTGTGTTTGCTGCCTTTCTGTCTTTTGTTTGGACACTTGCACATCAGGACTGCTGAGCTACTTCCAACCAAGAATGCATGCTGACTCTGGAGTTACTTCTGTGAAGCAGAGCATAGAGGGGAAGGTTTCCTAATGAAATGCACAGCAGAGCTGAGGTGGTGGCTAAATTGTCTTGTGCTGAGGCTTGTCCCAGTTTGAGCAGGGAATGGTTTAGAGCCAAAAATAACAAACTTTGATTTAACAGCTATGATGGCAAAACCCTTGGAAGAACAGATGTTGGGAGTGAGTGTCTGCTCTCTGCTCAGGCTTAGCCAGGGTAAGGACTGCAGTCAGTAGCTTCAGCCCTTATTTCTCCATGCAGGCTGCCCTGACTCCCCGTGCTGGAGGGTGGCACAACATAGGAGGAAACCTGGGAACCATTCTACTGTTTTGAAGATGGGTATTTTTATATACAGGTGTTGAGCATTTGTCCAAATATCAGGGACCATAAACAATAAAATTGAAATCACTGGAGGGAAAAATTAACTTCAGTTTGCATGAGCTACTTTTTCATGCCCCAGGTAGGAGGTTGGTGGAAGCCAAAGAGCAGCCTGTCCCTGAGCTTTCCAGAGCTGCCTCAGGGCTCAGGTACATGTCTCAGCCAGGACAGGGCAGGTCGCCTTGTGTAACCTTGTCCAGCTCCAGCCTGGAGCCAGTGTGAGAGATTTCAACTTGGGTCAGTCTATAATGAAGCTTTAAGTTAGTGCCTCACCTTTAGCTGTGGGCTAAAGCCTTGCATAGCTGCCTGTGTTACTGTCAGCCTTTCAAGTGGCTGCAGCTTTGGAACTAAGCTTTTGAGGTTTTGACTCCTCCTTTGCTTGTTTTATACACACACAAACACAGATTTGGCTTGTCCCTTAAAAATAGCTTCATTAAGTGATCAGGGAAAGCATGAGGCTAAATGTAGATGCTCCATCCCTGACAGTGTTCAAGGCCAGGTTGGACAGAACCTTGGGTGACATGGTTTAGTGTGAGGTGTCCCTGCCCATGGCAGGGGGGTTGGAACTGGATGATCTTATGGTGCTTTCCAATCCAGACCAGTCTGTGATTTTAGCCCAGTAACTTGGGCTGTTTTCTGTACTGGCAGAGGCACAGGCAGGGGCACTTTGACTTGCAGTACTCCTGAATGAACTCAGACTGGTTTGTAACTGAACTCACTAAGGTAAGTCACAGAACCCATTCTTTCTCTGGCTGGTTGGGCATCATTATTCCTGGAGGAGCAGGATAGCACAGCTCAAATACAGCAGTGCGTGATGCAGTCATGGTGTGTGTGTGTGGTTTTGTTCAGGCTGCTCTGGAGGCACCCACAAAGCTGATGGTTCATACTTCAGGTGTATCCTTTGCCCCTAGAGCTCCAGCTGCCTTGATCTTGATGACTTGGATGCTAAGCAAGTTGTTTGTCTTGAACAGGGCAGCACTGAAAGAGAGGGGTGTCAGAGTGGAGTGAGTGGAAAAGCTTGAAAGTCTGTTTACCCTTAACATACACACACACCTCTACATGTTACCTTTAATTGCTGCTGCTTTAAGGGTCTGACAGCAACTTGGCTTGGCTTTATCTACCAGCCTACTTTAAATAGTGTGAGAGGTTGTGACTAGCACTGAGAGGTTGCAGTAGCACTGGCTACAGGTATGTTGGTAACACTTGTGCAGAGAATGGTAGCTGGGGGCCTGTGTTCAGAAGTTACATGATTGCAGTGATGATGGCAGAGCTGGGGCAGGAAGGGCCTTGGAGCAGCTCAAGCCAGCTAAAAGAGGAGGCTCTGCCTGCACAGTGAGGCAGTTCTACCATCCCTTTAACACTGCTTGGGCACTGGCTGAAGAGTGGGTTCTCTCTCGAGGTATCTGCTTTGTATGTAACTTTGTCCTGTACTTACTGCTGTTAACTCATCAGAACAAGCTCCACCACCGTAAGCTCATGTACTGGCACTAGGAATTGAGCTGAGTATAGTGATTTTAAAACAGATGCATGTGTGGATATGGACGCTCCCTTAGATGTAGTTCTTGGAATCATAGAATTGTTTAGGTTAGAAAAAACCCTTAAGATCCTTGAGTCCAACTGTTAACCCAGCACTGGCAAATCGCCACTAAACCATGTCCCTGAGCACCACATCTACACATCTTTTAAACACCTCCAGGGATGGTGACTCCACCACTGCCCTGGGCAGCCTGCTCAGTGCTTGACAACCCTTGTGGTAAAGAAATTCTTCCTAATATCCAGTCTAAACTTCCCCTGGCACAACTTGAGACCATTTCCTCTGCTCCTATTGCTTGTTACTTGCCAGAATAGACCAACCCCACCTCGTTCCATCCTCCTGTCAGGCAGTTGTAGGGAGCGATGAGGTCCCCCCTGAGCCTTCTCTTCTCCAGACTGAACCCCCCAGGTCCCTCAGCCGTTCCCCATCACACTGTGCTCCAGGCCCTGCACCAGCTCCATTGCCCTTCTCTGGCCCCGCTCCAGCACCTCAATGTCTCTCTTGCAGTGAGGGGCCCAGAGCTGAACACAGGATTCGAGGTGTCATCTGCAGGTGTTACTGAGGGTGCACTGGATCCCTTCATCCACGTCACTGAAGAAGATATTGAACAGAACTGGCCCCAGTACTGAGCCCTGGGGAGCACAACTTGTCACTGGCTGCCGACTGTATTTAACTCCATTCACCACCACTCTCTGGTGCTCCTGCACCTTTTAAGACTTCCATTGTGATGAATTTCCATCCTTCCTGGCTTCCTCTGCCCTGCAGAACTGCTTCCCAAGGGACTCTGTCAACCAGTTATATGAGAGAAACCCTTGACTTCATCACTTCTTTGTGCACCCCTCCACCTGCACAGGGTCTTGCTGTTAGATAGTCCCTGCATCACATGGAAGCAAAGGCATCTTCATCACAGCATTGACTCCCGACTATAAATATCTTTTCCCTTGAGGTAAGGAGGGTCCTTTGGATGGAGCCAAACCCTTCCAAGGGAACACAGCCTTCTCTTGTACGTGGTGTTTTTGTTTGGTCTCTTGTTTTCCCCTCAGAACAGGGCTTTCCCTTCCCATGTGAGTAGCTCCTCCCAAAGCAGGAAATTCCTCCCCTGGAAAGTCATCGGCGCATCCTCGACTACTTCACCGGACGGTCAGATGTGTCCTTACCTCGGGGACCTGCAGGCAAGATAAGGTTTGTTAATAGGGATAGTCGTTAATTCTCAGCCTTTGGATTTTTCTGCTTGGTCAGAATTACCTGCTGCTACTTGCAACCAGCAGAACAAAGTAACCCAGAAGTAGCTTGAGGATTCAAGAGGCCTAATAAGAGCAGATAAACCAGTTGGCTGGCCTGAAGGGACAGCTTGGCTTCAGTTTCCCTTCTGTCTGTGGGTCTTAGACCCTGCCCCTGAGCTTCAATGAATGTTTCATCAATGATTCAGGAATCCCAAAGGCATCCTGAGAGGTCTCCAGAGCTATTGCAGGGTTGGGTGTCTGTATAACAAAGAAATGCAGCGGCTACAGTGTCCTCATGAGAGACAAATGGAGCCCAAGTGTTCCAGGGTTTGGATTTTTTTTCCCCTCATTGTTTTTAAACAGAAAAGTGTAATTCCTTCCCCAGTAAAGAACTTGATAAAAATGAGAACATTTGAGTTTAAAAGAAACCAAATACACAAAAATCCTTTGCTTAACCATTGCATGGTGGTGCAGTTCCCAGTTCCCTATGGCCAGGGAAGAACCCTGTGGAGCTGCTGCCTGAGGGCCATCACAGCTATTCACTTCAGCCCCTCCACTTGTGACCGCTGCACCCACTGTGGTGTCTCCACCAGCCCTCCATCATTGTCACCCTGGCCACCTGGCTCTCAAACCAGCCCCTCCATGTGCTGAGCAGCAAAACACCCCAGGGGCAGGAGGCAGCAACTGTCTGATTGTGTCAGGGAATGCAGCTAAAAGATGCTTTCATTGCATAGAAAACTGCTGTTCACCTTCAACAACCAGACCCGATGCACTGCTGTAGCACAGGAGCCGGAACATCCGTCCTCTCCCTATACTGGCTTGCAAGTGGAGTTGCTAAAAAAGAATTTGACCAGGAGACCAATGAGACAGGGCTGGCAACAGACAAGGGTTGTTTCACCCAGAGACCAGCCACATGTGCCAGTGATTACAGCTGAACATCACACTTATGTATATAGAACCATAGAACGATTCAGGTTGGAAGGGACCTTAAAGCTCCTCCAGTTCCAACCCCTGCCACAGGCAGGGACACCTTCCACTAGAGCAGGTTGCTCCAAGCCCCTGTGTCCAACCTGGCCTTGAACACTGCCAGGGATGGGGCAGCCACAGCTTCTCTGGGCACCCTGTGCCAGCGCCTCAGCACCCTCACAGGGAAGAGCTTCTGCCATATACCTATCCTATTTCTACCCTGTTTAAGCTTGTTTAAGTTAACTGTGCATCAATGCACAAAACTACCTCCAAGCTCTCCCAGAAAGTGCACATCCACCTCCCAGCATCACCACACTCCTGCCAAG